AGCGAACGCCCAGAGTGGTGGTGGCCAACGCGCTGTGAAGCAGCTTCCATTGCTACAACAGAGAGATCTGTAGATTCAAAATTCACCCCTCAGGCCCTTCCCCTGCAAACGTATCAGTAGTAGTAACAGCTTCTACAAGAACTCCAACAGGTGGCGGCTGCAGTTAATCTATCCTCCGTAGCGTCAACAGCTTAATTAAACCTCTCGTGTGTTTCGTTTCCTGCTTCCCACTTCCTTCTTGTTGAGGGCGAAACAAAATCCACGGGGCGGCGACTATGGTATTTGCAGTATGTACAGCTGCTTCCTCCTGCAACTATTCGCAAGCGTTTCGAGACATCGCCGCCCCTTTGCACCCAACTAAGCAATTGACCTGCCTGTCGTTGCGCAGCCGACTCGTGCGGGCATAAGGCGGACGGTAGGACTTTACAAAAAAAACACGAAAACTCTCCCCAGTGAAATTAAATATAAGGGGTTAAAAAGGAAATATATTGGAGAATACGGCGGGGGTCGCTCTGGAAAGATTCGTTCAACAGCGGGAGAGGCTCGAAAACTCTCCAGATCTGGGGGGAAATACAGGGGGCCCCGCAAACCGAAGCATTCCCTCCTAAACTACCGATGTCCTCAAGGAAAACGGGAAAACAACATAATAATTAGATAAATTTTCGTGATGAAGCGAAAGAGAACCCTTCTTTTATGATGATTAACAAACTCATCAACCCCCCACCCCCCGCGTTGCTGTATTGTGCCACCGACCGCCCAGCCCGACATCACTCACCTCTCTCCACCACCCACAGACAACCGCAAAGAAATAGAGCATAAAATAAATAATTTTAATCCATTTTATTCGACAGTTGTTCCATAATTAGTTGATTCCAATCTAGTGCGAAACATTATGCAGGAGGAAAACTCTAACCGAAATACCCATTGTCAACACGCAACCACCTACTCGTCCTACAAACGTGTCTTCACAGGATACGCCGAGTCGAGCAAAAAAAATCGAAAATTCCGCAAAATTAAACAATTAAATTGTCATTCAAGTACTTTTGATAGTACCTTTTGGGCGTATCGTGTTGGGCACATCTCTTACTGCGCGCTCCCCGCTGTTGGTCGGTTGCGCCTTCGAAAAAGGCAAGCGCCGTGCTTTACGCATGTACATATAATATATATTATTTATCTTCAATGAATTGGTGAATAATATATAAAAATTCAATTTTACATTTGAAACATTCCCAATTACTCATGCTATTCTCTAATAAACGCAGTCGCGCTATTCAAATGAGTTCTGCCGTAAGCGCAGGCATGCCTATGGCTAGAGCATGCAAGGAAAAGAAAAAGGTAAACTGTTCACTAAGCTGACGGAATACTTATCAACTTGATGTAATCCTTAGGGAAGTTGAATGTAATTTAAACATGGTGATACTCGAAAGTCTATTTTATACTCGACACTTCTAATTAGATGAACGCACAGGCTTCCTTGAACTCCGCCGCATTGACTAGCAAACCTATTTTCAGGTGAAGCAGATTGAAGCGGCTACGGCTCACTGTAAGGTGTGCCCTGCATCTTAATAATAATAATGAATAATAATAATAATAATAATAAATACCAATAATAATAATAATAATAATTCTGTACAGACGTAGTTACTCATCGCCTTGGGGGTGCAGATATCTCTCAGCAGGAAGCACGTCCTGCTACTCGGGTTTGCTTGTAACACCGCTAGCGAGGGTTAGTGTTATGAAAGTTGTGCATATCCTCGTAGTAGAATAAAAATACTATTTACAAAGCGCCGCAGCCCTTCACCATTACAATGAAGCATGCAAGTGTCTTGTATTAGTTTTGCTCTATAGCCAGATTAAAGGGGAGTGAATATCACTTTTCAATCGTTGAAAGGATTTCAAATTTAACGCCTCTTCTTTCTCTGATGCTGAAGTAGATCACAAGGTTGGGCCTGTTTGCCCAGAGAACGTGAAGTTCCACACTAATGCTAATGCTAATGCATTAGTTTCTTTCTTACAAAATAATAATATTAGTGTTAGAGATACTGTGGCACTACATCTTTTCTGCAGAATGACTTCAAATGCGTTACGTTTTAAATGCGTCAAGTTTTAAATGCGTTTAGTTCGTCGGCATTTCCAAACACGCAGTGCAAATATCACAGCGCATTCCACATTGTAGAGATAAAAGAAAAAAAAACCTACACCGGAGTTTTAGTGTTTGTCTCTGCAGACAAACATAATTCTATCCTTGTTGTTTCAGTGAATATGACACAGAAGTGAATA